CGGGGGGGGGAGAGGATTTTATACTAGTGATGTGAATTTGAAGAAATGTTTACAGCAATATGTCCCTGGCATAACTTAGGGTTTCTGTATCAGGGGGCTGCAGGGCTGCCCTGTGGCAGAAGAGGCCATGGAGGGATAGAGATAAGAAAGATCATCAGTCCTTAAGGCAGGAGACACCCAGGGGGGATGGCTGAGCAAGCGGCATGGGGCTGCAGACACACCTTTGGCAGGAGATGCCTCTGAAGGTGCTGTGTGTGGCCCTCGGGGGACACATGCCAGGGCAGGGACAGCCTTCGGGGACTGTGGCCAGCAGAAGACCCACACTGGGACAGCAATGCTGGGAAGCCTGAAGAAGCTTGGTGTCATGGAAAGAAAAGCTCCATGCGCTAGTTGTTGTGAGTGCTACTTCCAGTTCACATATGTGTACTAGGCAAAACCCTGCCAGTTGTGGTAGTGGTGAGCTGCAGGAGTGGCCTGTGTGGGAGAGGGCTGTGAAGTGCCCTATACCAGTCACACTTCCTTACAGCCAGCTCAAAAACTGATGGGAAATCCATTTTAATCTATTTTCATATTTTTGATCACTTAGGTTCACAATTCCCCCACTGTGAATGACCAGGAAGTGTAGCATTAGCTTGCAGTGTATTCTGACTGTGTACACGTGCTTTGTTGCGTGACAGGCTTTCTGACATCTACCCAACTAGCCCTTCACTTCCTACAGCATCACCCCAGGTGCTCACTCGCTTCACGTGACTCGTTACACAAGCCAGTGAGAGCTGCATGCTCTCTCCAACATAGATAACTTGTACAGATACATATAAGCATGCCCATGGAAACACCTGTAAGCTGTACCTTATCATCATCAGTTCTATGACTCATTAGACTCGGTTAATTACTTCATCTGTGCAGCCTTAGCTCTCAGTCAAGTAGATGCAATTTGAAACTGCATTTGGAGAGAAGACCCAGTGCAGAACCAGAACCACAAACTCCAACCAGCAGCAGAACACTTGAGTTTCTTTAAGCTTACAATGGCACCCTGGAAGAGACCGCATCAAGTTGCACTGTTAATCGTGAACGCAGGTTTTGTGTGTTATCTTGTGCACTTACTGCAAGAGCAAAGAAAGGGAAGACTTGATTCCGTGGAAGTTAATCCTAGATTTCTGAACCAAGAATATAACATCCTTCAGAGACTGGACCATTTGGACTGGAACATTCAGAACCTCTGTAAGTAAAATGGCATGCTGCTTAATTTTCTGAGAATTAGGTATCTAGATTTCCTGAAGAATAGAATAATAGATAGCAGTGATAATGTTTGGGTTTCCCTGGACACTTCTGATTGTGGGGTGGGTTGGTTGGGTTTTTTTTTTTTTCTTGTAATCTTGAAAAAGATTTTATAGCTTCTCTACTTACACACAAAACAATAAAGTCTTTCACAGTCATCCTGGTGTTTTTTACATATCAGACAGCTCCTGACCCTGAACTCTTTTAAAAGTGTTAAGCAATTTTAGGGTGATTGTACCAGCATACTTATCTCAGGTGGCTATTACTCTTGTCACTATTTTGTTTGCCATAAAAAGCTATTTTTGAGAGAAACTGGAAATGCCCCGTTTCCTCAGCCTCTGCTGTGGGGATGAACAACAAGGGGAACTGCGACTCTGTCTTTTTTTTCTTTGTGTACCTTGAGCACAGACACAGTAGAGTTGCTGTGAGTAAAAGACGTTGATGAACTCTGCGTCACCTGATCGATTGGACTCTGTTCCCAAGCAGCATTAGCTGAAATCTGCTGCCAGGACTGTGTCTCTTATCCTACAACAGTGAAAGGCCAACAGCATCCCAGCAGATGTGCTTGTATATAAGCAATATTGATTTAGAAAGGGATTTTTCTTTCTCACAGCAGGGTTTGTGAATTTTGACCTTGTTTTCAGGTATCTGTTGTAGGTTGGACTGTTGAGAAGTGCACACAATAGAGCCATCTAAATAAGGGCTGAAAAATCCACCTCTTCTCCTTTGGACCCCTTGACTCCCTACTTCTGTCATGTTGTTTGAATCTCATCACCTCACGGCAGTGGTAGGAGGGCTAAAGCAGCCAGAACCCTGCTGGCTGACATTGCTTTGACTGTCATGTTGTCCACATCTCCTCACATTAGAGCTAGATGCATGCTGTGTAAAACAGAAGAAACTGAGAATGTCTCAATCATCCAAGCCTGAAACTAGCTGTTTGAAATGCCACTTGAGGCACTCTTGAACTTGGTGAGAAATTTTCCCCATACAGTTTGGTCAGGTTTAATATCCCCTATCCCAAAGACCAGTATCCCATAATGTCACATTTATTGATGACTCTCTTCACTGGCACCTGTTTGAATGGGCATCAATACTGGGGCATATTTTTGTAGGTTATTTTAGAGCCATTTGAAAGAAAGCTGAAGAATTCACTTTAGTACTTAGTCACGGAACGAACCTAATAGTTGAGGTTGGGAGGCACCTCTGGAGATGGTCTATTCTACTGATTCATCTGCTCGAGGCATGATCAGCTAGAGGAGGGTGCCCAGGACATCTCTGGGGTTTGAATATTTCTAAGGATGGAGATTTAACAACCTATCTGCTTTATCTGTTCCAGTGTTTTATCAACCCAGCACTTAAAAAAAAAAAAAAAAAATAAATAAAAAAAAATCTTATGTTTAATTGGAATTCCCTGTATTTTAGGCTCTTGTCCTTTCACTAGACACCAGAAGGAAACTCTTCCTTTGTCTTTGCTAGACCCTCTCATAAGATATTTGTATGCATCAATAAGTTCCCCCCCAACCCCCAAGCCTTCTCAGGGTCTCTCAGCTTCTCCTTGCATAACAGATGCTCCAGTCTCATAATCATCTTAGTGGCTCTTTGTAGGATTTTTCTCCAGTATGTCCATGCCTCTTGTACTGAGGAGCCCAGAAGTGGGCACAGGACTCCAGGTGTGGCCTCACCAGTGCTGAGTAGAGGGGAGGGATCATCACCCTCGACCTGCTGGCAGTGCTCTTCCTACTTCACCCCAGGGTACTGTTGGCCTTCTTTTCCCCAGGGCCACACTGTTGGCTCATGGTCAACTTGGTGTTCACCAGGGCCCTCAGGGCCCTGTCTGCAAGGGTGCTTTCCAGCTAGTGCTGGTCCGTGGGGTTGTTCCTCCTCAGGTGAAGGACTTTGCACCTGCCCTTGTTGAACCTCATGAGGTTCCTGTTGGCCTGTTTGTCCAGCCTGCTCGGGTCCCTCGGAATGGCAGCAGGACCCTCTGGTGTATAAGCTGCTCCTTGCAGTGTGATATCGTGCACAAGCTAGCTGAGGGTGCACTCAGCCATATTTTCAATATCATTAATGACCATATTAAACCAGTATTAGAAAGAGTATTGACCCTTGGGGTACCCCACTAGTGACTTTGTGCCACTGATCACAACTTTCTGATCCTGGCAGTTCAAACCTCCTTGCTATCCACTTATTTAGTGAATAGTAGAATGCACTTCCTTATCTTGTGCATGAAGATGTTGTGAGAGACAGTGTCAGAAATCTTACTTGAGTTTAAACAACATCCACTCATCTCATTCACCAATACAGTAATTGAATTGTCGAAAGCTTTAACTCACACAGTTTTTCTGTGCCTTTTTTATATGGCACAGTCTGATATTGTAAACTTAACAAGACCTTGAGAGATGAGGATTCGCTCTGTTCAAAGGTTTCTGACAGAGCAGAAATCAAAACTAACAATAAACTTTTCAAAAGACACTGCAGAGGGCTTGTTTATTGTATTTATTTTCAGGAACAATATGTCCTAAACAACCTCACACAGACTATTTGTGCCTTTTCTTTATGGCACAATATTGTGAGCCTAATAAAGCCTTGAGAGATTAGGGCTTGCTTTTCTGCTCTTTCTGTGCGGAAGATTCAAAAGAATCCAGGAAGCTTATTAAAGGAGGTAGCAAAGGATTCGCTTACTGTATTTACCTTCAAGATAAATATGGTATCAACAGCCTGACTTAGATAGGGATCTATTATGGATCGCTAACACATTAATGTAACTGAAGCATAACATCATGGAAATGATTTGGGCTTGATTTAACATTTTTTGTGTTGCTTCTACTCCCAGATTTCTCCACTGATGCCAGCGCAATGTCCCTTGTTTGTGCACTTGAAAGCAGAATCTGACGCAGGGTACTGTGATGCTTATAAACTGTTCTCATGGAGGCAGAAGGGTTTGATGCTATTCTCATGTGAACGTCAATTTAGCTGTAACTTCACATATTTCTTGACCTGAAGTGTTATGAGAGTTGGGCTCAGTTATGATGGAGAGTGTTCTCAATTGCTGTTATAATCAATCCTCTCTTATTTTTCAATCAGCAAAATCAGTGGAAGCATTCCATGAAAATATAAAACAAATAGAACATGATCTGAAGCTGCAAGATAACTCCAAGACTGAAGTACGCAAAGCTGATAATGCCAAGGAGGAAAAGGAGATTGTACACCGTTTGCTGTACCCAGACTCAGCTTTGTTCAAACGCTGGGGTGCAGATTTAAGGGAGGAGGAGCAAACTGTTGCACAGAATCTGTTCTTAAATTATGGGTATAATGTTTATCTCAGTGATCATCTACCTCTGGATCGACCTATCAGAGACACCAGATCTCCCAGGTGCAGTATAAGACCTTTCTACATTCACAGGGAGACATTAAATTAAAGGGAAAGGGATCCTCATTGCTTTAGACTAAGTTTAAATAATCTACTAACAGACCTCAATTTGTGCTGTTAGTTTAGGGAATTTTTTCTGCGATTTTCTTCCAAATTTTGCTTAGACTTGTGGTACTCTGAAGACTGTAAAAGGAAGTCACAGTGTAGAGATGACACTTAGGACAAAGAATAGAATGTTAATATTATAATTGAGACAGGATTTCTAACTGTTGGTAAAAAGGGGAAAAACTAACCATAGTATTCAGAAGATATGAGACCTTCTGGTCTATTTAAATTCTGTTTATGCCCCAAAGGCAGAACATCTGAAGCATTCTTTCTCTTGTCTCTTATTTTCTCTTGTGTAAGCCTTTTATATGCTGAGATATCCAAAGTGGTGGTTTTTAAACACTCACACACCCCCCATCCACTTTGGAAAACCCCCAAAATATAATCAATGAAGAAATAAACCCCTACATTGTAAAATTCTGTCCTTTTTAACAAAATGCTTGTTTTTCTTAGTTACGTTGCAGACTGTAAGTGGGCAACACCTATACTGCTTGTTAAAAGATGATTCGAAATCAAACAGGAGAAGTGGCTGGAACTAATTATTGGCCAGTGAGTCCCATGAAGAGTGAGAGGAGATTCAGCACTTTACCTGAATCCCTAGCACTCTTATCTTTAGTACTCTAGGCACAGCACTGTTATCTTTAGTATTGTAGGCAGAGCCATGATGGCCTGGTGACCTTGTGAGCTTCCTCATAGCTTTATTTTCTCTGTTTCCTTCTCAAGTTATCAAAGAATCTAAGGATTAATTAATTGGTTAAAGAAAAATATAGTGGGGTGAACATCTAAAGGATTAAGATGTAGGTAAGCAGTCCATAAGAGGAAGCTTAAGGGATTTTTCCAGGAATTCATTGGTTCTTGAAGCCCATACTTAATACTTTTTAAGCAGACCAGTGGTGCTGTGGGAACTGGCATAAAAACCTCATTAAAAACCAAGTATCTGATTAAAAAAAAAACCCAAACCCAAGGACGTTTTTTTTTCTTGTAGAGTATGATAAGGTATACAATTTACTGCAAAAGATAATAGCAAGCTTAACAGGACTTAACTGCTGTAAATGTGCAAAAAAGCCACAGATGTACTGCAAGCCTGCACCTTCGTACCTATGGTCACCTGTGCTAAATCTGATGGAGTGTTTCAGAAGAGGATGTGGGGGGCAGAGAGGATTGCAAACTGGGCATGAATTAACGATGTCACACTTGGGGAAAAGGTGAATGGTCTTACTGGCAGCCCTCTGGAAGATGTAAAGAGCATGTTTATGGAACTGGGTCCTCATTGTACTGCTTGGATGGAGCCAGTTTTGTCTAAGGCAGACAGTATTAAGTTGCCCGTGACTGTGGGTGTCTGTGGAGCAGTGTTGCAGAGAAGGAGAAGGTTGAGGGAGATGAGCCTTGTGCAGCAGTGATCCAGCCACAGATCCTCCCCAGACAGCCCTGAGCTGAACGATCCCCACGCTGCTGGGGGATTGTTTTGGGGAGCTGTCTGGAGCAGACGCCGCAGAGGTGGCTGGAGGAAGCGTGTGATGAGTCTGCATTGTCCTAAAGAATGGGTGAGGTGCTTGGCGCTCCTCTGCTTGGCATCATAAAGAAATACATCATAGAGACGTATTTGCAGAGACTGCCTTTTGCAGATATTCGCTCAGGCTCTTGAGCTAATGGCTAATAAAGCTAATGGAGAAATTCCAACAGAAATGCGTTCCCTTCTTGCACAGTTGCTACTGTAAAGGTCTACCTGGAGCATGAGCTCGCATCTCAGACAGCTGCGTTACCTAGGTGCATGTCTCATGCAGTCTGAGTATTGCTTTCATGAGCATGTTTCTAAGGATAGGGAGTGATCAGGCTGAGAATCCAGCCACGTGCTGTTGTCTGCTCTAGAGAGAGCTAATGCTTAGCACTGTGAAGACCCAGTCCCCCCTATCTGACTGGTGGCCAGGATGCTAGTTAGCAGAGCTTACAAATATCCCAAATATATAGTTAAAAAAAAATAAAATTACAAAACCTTTTGACAGTAAACAGGCAAGTTTGTTTCAGTACTGGGAACAACAGATTCTGGGGTTGCATGGAATTCCATAAGACCTAGTTTACTCTGAAAGAAGGATTTTTTGAAGCTCTTTCAAGAATTTCTGAAGGGATCCCTTGTCCAGGGGAATCCTTCTTGCATGTCAGTTTATAGCTAGACCTACTTTGTTCTTTACTGCACATGAAAGGGGATTATTCTCCAATTTGCTTTTGTCTGCTGTCAGATTTGGTGGTTGTCATCTCCTGTAAATGCAAAAAGACAAATTTCATTCACGTGACCACTGCCATGCAAGCTAATCATCACTGGCTGAGTTAGTTGCATACTTAAATATTTCATAACCATTTTGGATTGAGAAACAGTAATTGTTCTTTTTGTTTTAACAGAAATTTTAACTTTACCCCAATGGTTTATACACATACATAACACAACTTGAATAATGAAACTTGGATTTGGGAATTCCTTTTTTTCCAGTCTTACACTGATTTTTCACAATATGTTTTAAGCCAAACATCCCAATTCTGCCTTCTTGCAGCTGCCTTGCTCCCTGACTTTCTTTAGTTGCAGCTGCCTTGCTCCCTGACTTTCTTTAGAACCTGTGCTAAAGCTGTTTGTCTTCTATTACAGCTGTAAAATGAAAACCTATCCAAAAGATCTTCCAACACTCAGTGTTGTACTCATATTTATGAATGAAGCCCTGTCAATCATCTTACGTGCAATTACTAGTATAATTAACCGAACACCTTCACATTTATTGAAAGAAATCCTCCTGGTAGATGATTACAGTTCTAATGGTAAGTGACCCAGGGAAAGTAGGAGTCTTGCTAATTTATGCCACTATTTGTTAAATGGATATTGGCCTTTTGGGTGCACACGCAGTAGACCGTGTGCAATTAAGAAGTAAATTGCGTACAGGAAAAAAACCTAAAACACCTTAATAGCCTGAAAAAAAAGACAGCTAATAAGAAACAGGATGATGCTCTGCAGGTATTTTAAAAGGTTAAAAATTGAAGTGGGAGATTATTTATCATCACTGGCTCATCAGGCACAGTACCAAATTAAGAGTATGCTAAAAAAACTATCTCTATAGGTATCTGAAATAAGTCCTTGAAGAGTGGTGTCTTGGGTTGTGGAAAATACTCATAAGGGAAGCAGCGGGTGCAATGTTGCTCTTAAAATTGAACTGAACAAAGCATCGTAAAATCATCTGTAAGAAACTGTCATGCCTCTGATCTTGAGTGCTCTTTTTTTTTTTTTTTTCCTTTGCCTGATGAGATGTGTTTGATTTCTCATTTTTCTAAGGCTTTGTAGCTTCTAGAAAAACATGTCAGTCTGAGTCGAGCAAGAGTTTAAGTGAGTTTCCAAAATGATGCTAAGAGGTCCCAACTTTCTATTCCTTTTTTTCTGACACTATTTTTTTTCTTTGGTGAGGGAGTTGACATGCCTACAACTCTTATAAGGAGCATTTCACATTTTCAGGGCTTGTTTATTTTCTCTTTTATTTTCCACATGGTAGAAGATAAACCCAGAAATTACTGCACTAAGACACCTGTTTGTTATGGCACACATCTGAAGTTTCTACATACTGATGTGTTTATGTACAATTTAGAAGCCATACAATGGCACTATATGGAAATGAAATTTAGGTGCTTAATTGAAACCCTGGAATCGAAGCTGGTTTTAAAACTAAACCTCTTGGTTTCATGAGTACCTGAACAATTCTACCTGTTCTATTGTAAAGAACAAACCAGTTTTCAGTCTGGAACTGGGAGAAGCTAGAAAGCCATTACCTACATAATCTTTTTCATTTCTTAATATTGATTCACCTTTTTTTTTTTTTTTTATAAACCATTAAAATGTGGGGTCTGGCTTTAGATGATTTAAAAGGACCTTTGGAAACACACATCAAAAATTACAATGCAAAGCATCCTGGACTGCTGAAGATCATCAGACATCAGAAAAGACAAGGCCTAACACAAGCCCGAATTACTGGCTGGGAGGCATCAACTGCAGATGTTGTTGCAATTTTGGATGCCCATATTGAAGTGAACACGGCATGGTAAGACTATGAAGACTTGGGGGTTCCTGAAGTGGGGAGAGGGAGTTGGACAAGGACTATAACTGTGTAGTTGGGACAAGCATCCCATATATGACTCTCTGGCCTGCCACATGTTACTTAACAACCACCAAGTAATCTATTTCTGAGAGGTGAAAGGGTAATATTTGAAATAAATAGCAAAGCAAACAGGTAAGAGAGTAAGCTTTTGTGAAGAGGAAGAGAGAAGTGCCTCCCTTCTCTGTGTATTTATTACATTTCTAGGAAAAAAAGAATTCATGCAGTGAAATAACATAGGAATGATGCAGGTTATTTAGTTCCACTGCCAGCAGCTGTGGCCCTTTATAAGCATATTGGACATCCATAATACCATATGACTTTAAATTGGGTTGGCTCTTATTCCAGCTTTGGCTAATGTTTATCTGCTGTTGCCTGTTAGTTTAACAGTGTGTCATAGTTCTGCAGAACTCTTTTTGCAAATGGAGACAAAACAAGTGGCTGATGATGGATATTTACATTCCGTTAGGTAGTGATATCTGTGGTACTGTTTTGTGTGAAATCTCTTTACGTTCTCCCCACTCTCAGTTGTTGAATTCACTGACTGACTATTGTCCATGTTGTCTCAATTTCTGGGAGCAGGGTTCTTCTCCCAGCCCTTCTCAGGCCAAAATGGCTCTATGTGGTCCAGGTCTCTCCTTCTCTCTTGATAATATACTAACTGATGCTCCCTAGCTGTTACAGTCTTAAAGGTAACGCTGAAGTCCTTTAGTCATGGATTTCGGGACTCATCAGGCTGTCAAGAGTACGTAGGGAGAGATAAGGTCAGTTCTTTTAAGCTTAACAATAGGGGTCCAGTAAAAAAACTCCCTCTGTCAGAGTCCAATATTCTCTGGCCAGGTTCTTTTGAATATTCCACATGAGGAGGGTTTAAAGTTTTCATACTAAATTTACTTATTTGAAGATACTTGGGATTTCAGTTTAGAAAAGTGATACAGCAATATACTGAAATTACAACGCAAGCACAATGAAGCAGTTGCAATATACATCATACAAATGAGATTCACATTACTGTAGGCTCACCATCAAGATGCTGGACATCCCTAGTTGGAAGGAATACGTGGGTTGAAGCCAACTCAAGCATGTTGCTTTCTTCAAAGTTAATTTTTCAGGGTGTTCAATTTCTATACCGTATTTTGGGCTAGACATGTATAGACTTCCCCCATGTTGGTCTGTCTGACTTAGGAAGGTAATACTTTCTACTGATTATTTTAGGAAAGCCATGTACACAACCAGTTGACCCACTCAACTGATAGTGCTGTTTATCTGCCACAAATGCAACTCTCTAATCCCCTTGGTGTTGGGATAACTTCAATTTCCTTTCCTATAGCTGTGGTCACTCCCTGTGTTCTTCTCTGAGCTTTATGAGCACGTCATCCTTGCCTGTCTTCTCTGAGCCTTCTCCCATTGTAGGGGTTCATTGATCAGTCACATCCTTCCCTCATACAGCAGCCATGCCATCGAGGCACAGGGAAAAGATGGTGAATGGTCATCTTCAGGTCTTACAGCACCTCTCAGAGTCTCCTTCTTTTCCTTTTCCCTTCTTGTCTCTTCATGCAGATATTGAAGATTCTCTGGAGCCTTTAGGCCTTTAGGAGCCTTTAGGACCCAGGTAGCAATAAACCCAGCAAGTTCAGTGTGGAACCTATGGTTAGTTTATTAGTTACAGTCAAATTGCAGAAGCAGCCTAATGGAAGGGAGAATTTGAGCCATGGCATTAGCAATTTGGGTTACTAGAAGTCCAAGTATATAACTTTTTGTAAAGGCCAAAGTCAATGACTTTAAGTAGCTAACCCAGTTGTAGAAACAGGTGCTGAAGCTTAGTACTGTTCATTAGTTTTCCACTTTTTCAAGCTGAACAGACTCTGTTAATTTTGGTAGGGCTGAACCTATTTTGTCTCGACTAAAAGAAGATCGCACTGTTATAATATCACCAGTATTTGACAATATTCGTTTTGATGACTTTGAGCTTCTTCAGTATGCAGTGGCTGCAGATGGATTTGACTGGGCACTCTGGTGCCTTTATGAACCTTTACCAGCTGAATGGTATTCTCTGAAAGATGAAACAGCTCCAGTCCGGTAAGTATGAATAGCATTTGAGAGTGAGCCAAGATACATGCTATCGAATGTAGAGCTAGCAGATGGAAGAAGATGTTTCATAGGTGGTGGGATAGATACCTACGAAACACATTATCTCGATAGTTGGTTTGGAAGTTGGGTTGTTTAGCAGTCCTGAGAAATCTCAGTACACCAGTTGCTGAGTTGTGTTACGGAATCCGCTCTGCGCTGATCCTGCTGTCAGATTTTCAGGCAATCCCTGAGTCATTGATTTTTCTGTCTTGTGTTCTTTAGCTAGGAATGTGGTAGGATTATTTAATGACTGTACAAGATGAACTGTGGATTCACTCCATTCTTTCCCAACAATATGGAGTGAATCTCACAATTTTGCTGGGCAATTGCATGTCTGAGCCGTGAGGACTCACGTGGATTCAAGTTGTGCAGTTTTTTCTTTGAAGATGTTGGGGTGACATATGATTACAGTGATCTTGGGCAGGCTTTTTCAGCCCTTATCACTTGTGTATCGTACAAAAGCAAGAAAAAGACATGAACACAATACACACAGTTGTTAAAATTAAAGTGACCCCTTACTGCTAGGCTTAGGATCCAATATATTTGCTTCTGTTCCTGATACCTTCCTTCAGGAATTCTTCAGTTTAGTTTATGTATTCAACACAAGAAGGTTCTGGTAGTATGATACCAGAAGCCATCTCCTGTTGAATACATACAGCCATTTGTTTCCTTGTTCTACAAGGATGTCAGACATTGTTGACTGTCCTTTAGCTATTAACAGCCATCTATCAAACAATATTAAAAAAAGTGACATGATTTAAGATACAGTTATCAGATTTTTCTATTCCTATCTTACTTTATTGGGTTTACGTGACAAGGTTTTGCTAGTGGGGAAGGGCTGCAGGGCTGGCTTCTGTGAGAAGAGGTGAGGAGTTTCCCCTATGTTGAACACAGCCTGTTCCATCTGGCTCCAAAACGGACATGGTGCTGCCCAAAGCTGAGCCAAGCAGCAACACTGCTGGTGCCTCTTCGATAACGCATTTAAAACAGGGTAAAAAAATGTTGTGCAGCAGCTGTGAGTGAGAGAAGTGAGGAAGATATATGAGAGAAACAGCCCTGCAGACACAGGTCAGTGAAGGAGGAGGAGGAGGAGGAGGAGGTGCTCCAGGCACCAGAGCAGAGATTCCCCTGCAGCCTAAGGAGAAGATCCTTGTGGAGCACACTGCCCCTCTGCAGTGTGTGGAGGACCATGCCAGAGCAGATGTCCATGTGGCAGCCCCTGGAGGACCCCAACTGGAGCAGGTGGATATGCCCTGAAGGAAGATGCAACCTGTGGGGAGCCCATGCTGGAGCAGGCTCCTGGCAGGAGCCTACAGCCTGTGGAGGAATGCTCAGGCAGGAGCAGGTTTTCTGGCAAGAATTACAGCCTGTGTAGGACCCATGCTGGAGCAGTCTTCTCCTGAGTAACTGTACCCTGTGGAAAAAGACCCATTCTGGAGCAGTTCTTGAGGAACTCCATCCCATGGGAAGGACCCATGTTGGAGCAGCTCATGAAGGACTGTATCCCATGGGATACCCCATGCTGGAGCAGGCGAAACATGAGGAGGAAATAGTGGCAGAGATGAAGTGTTATGAATTCACTAGAACCCTCATTTTCCATCCCTATGCCCTACTTGGGGAAGAGGGAGGAGGTAGAAGAGTCAGTAGTGAAGTTGAACCTGGAAAGAAGGGGGGATGGAGGGAAAGTGGTTTATTTTTGGGTTTATCTGTTTCGCTATCCTCCTTTATTTTTAATTGGCAATAAATTAAATTAGTGTTCCCCAAATCGAGTCTATCTTGCTGCTGATGACAACTGGTGAATGACCTCCCTATCCTTATCTCAACCCATGAGTGTTTTCATTTAATTATCTTCCCCTGTCTCCGCCAATGAAAGAGCGGCTTCGTGGACACCTGGTGCCTCCAGCCAAGATTAAACCACCATACTTATTTACATAAGGGGCTTTAAAATTTACTGTGTAGATCTTGAGAAGGAAAGGCACTGTGAAAATATTTGAAAATAATGTACTGTGTTGTCAGTTGAGACGGCAGATTTCTTAATTTGTATAATACTACACCTGGTAGCCAAGAATTGGAGATAAGGTTGCACAGATAGCTAGGTAAGGAACTCTGGGTCAAATTGTCTCTTTGTATGCGTTAAAAACATTATATAGTGAGCATTGTTTGGGCAGGAGAATGGAATGAAAGCAAACCAAATGTACATTGAAGAATGTTTCATAGAGGGTTATCCACGATTAGACCAGAGAAAATAGCAGTGAGTTTGGCCATAGAGAATGGGGATGTCAAATGAGCGCCAAATTCCCTTTCAGTCCCATTTCCCCCACTGGATTCATCTACAGTGGAATTGGTCCTGCCAGATAATTGTCTCATCTGTCTTTCAAAATTTTGATTGACAGTGATTCCACAATCCACCTTGGCAATGGGCTTTAGTGTTTAAGTTTCTTTAATGTTAGGTGAAAAATTCGTAATGTCCAATCTCATTCTTCTTTACTATAATTTAATCTGTTTTCTTTCTTCACATTTTGAAAATGTGAAAACATGTAACATCATCTCTCAAAATAGATTTAATTATTTAAAAACTACTAGATCATGCTTTTTAGACCATTGGTTAGGTTATTTGCTGTTTTCTGATTCTTTAATATTGATCTAAATGTTGTTTTGAATTAAATCTACTACTCTCTCTTGGATACAACTGGAGTCCTTTTGGAAGTTCAAGATGTGACTGATGGCTAATTGACTTTACTTATTTTCATCATTGTTGCTCCTTTCTAATTTTACTTCTTGGACTCTCCAGGAGCCCATCTATAATGGGGATTCTTGCTGCAGATAGGAAATTTCTGGGTGAGATTGGTGTACTGGATGGTGGAATGCATATATATGGAGGAGAAAATGTGGAACTTGGCCTGAGGGTAAGCCTATTTTGAAATCTTTTTCTGAAAGACTGGGAAAATTAGTGATTTTTTTTTTAAGCACTCAGGCAGATGTTTATTGTCCAAAACAGGAGTTGATATTTCAGAACAATTCTCTTTTAGTTTGGTACCAAAGGGAAGTGATAGATTTCCAAACATGTTTAAGGCTCATCAGTAGGCTTTTGTTGATACTTAAGGATTTTGCCTCTTGAGTCAAGAACCTAGTTCAGTGAGGAAATACTAAGTCTTGCAGGATGTGGTTCTCTGCAGAAATTTAAGGCATGTATTTCTTGCCTCAGCAAAAGAATCAAATAAGATGAAGTCAAATGAAGCTATGTATTAGGAAAAAACAAAAAAAAAACCCAAACCCAAACTAGAAAGAGGTCTGTCTGCCCTTAGAGGTAGTGTGTTCTTCAACTTTGGATGTCTTCAAATCAAGAATGGAGGCCTGGTTTTGGTTTGGTTGGTTTTGGTTTGGGTTAGTTTTGGTTTGGTTTTGGTGGGTTTGGGCTTTGGGTTTGGGATTGTTTTTTTTTTTTCTCCAGAATAGTTTTATCTGGAGTGATGTTAGGGAACATGAGAGAGCACTAAAAATTCCATTGGTGACTATTTTTTAAAAGTAGTGGTGGCTGGAGATATTCTAGAAGACCCAAGGGGGAAAAAAAAAATAAAAAATTAACATAGCAGTTATCTCTATAAAGAAGAGAAAGGATGGCAGGATGTGAGAATTATACACCTGCTAGCAAGACTTAAATGTATAGGAAAAAAGGTTGATTATTCTCTTTCTCTGTAAACATGAAAGCTAAGGGGCTTTAAAAGAAGTCAGTAACTAGTTTCAAAACATGAGGAGGAGGTACTTCATTCTTCCGGTAGCAGACCAGACCAACAGAGCAGGAGCAGAGCTCCTTCCAAAGGGTATTGTGGGTCTTAAAAACTTGCAGTCATTTGTGGGGAGACTGAACAGTTATGGAATAAAAATCTACTCAGAGTTAGTAAACAAAAGTGAATCATGGGAATATGCAGAAAGTCCCCTGACCTGAAAATAACTGGGGGCCATGAGAAGTAACATACATGCTTGTCTTGTTCTTAACCTTCCTCAGGAATAAGTTTGCAGCCACTGTGGGATACAGAATACTAGGCTAGATGAACCATTGGTCCACTATGGGCATTTTCTCATGTTCTTACAGCTTTGCTTTTTTTTTGTTCTGGTATTTCTTAGGAAGCACATAAAATAACACAGACAACATAATTTTGTCTGAACAAATCACGTCAAACAACTTAGGGTTTGGTTTTTTTTCTATAATGGAGTAGCCTGCATTGTGCAAAGAAGAAAACCAGCATGAATGAGGAGAAACTTGAAGAATAAACAGCTGCAGAGGTGTAGGTGGGGAAACATCCAGTTAGAAAAGAACTGGGAGTAACAGACTTTGTGTGAGTCAACATGGCTCTGCAGCTAGATGGGAAATGATGGTGTTGATGATCCTTTTCTTCTATTACTAAGTTCTCTTCTGGAGTTGTGTTTTGAGTTCTGAGACTATACATCATGGAGCAATTGAATAATCTGAAGGAAAGGAAAGAGATCAAATAGAGTTCCTGCAATATGTGACATTATAGTAGAAATAGGCCTAAATGAGGTTTTTTGATTTCATAGAATTGTAGAATCATTTGGATTGGAAGGGACCTTAAAGAACATCTCATCCCACCCCTCTGCCACAGGCAGGGCCACCTTCCACTAGCCCAGGTTGCCCAAAGCCCCGTCCAACCTGGCCTTGAAGCCTTCCAGGGAGGGGGCAGCCACAGCTGCTCTGGGAAATCTGTGCCAGGGTCTCACCACCCTCACAGGGGAGAATTTCTTCTTTATAATTAATTTAAATCTACCCTCTGTCAGTTAAAACCCACTAACCCTTGTCTTAACACTACATGCCCTTGTAAAAAGCCCCTCTCCAGCTTACTTGTGGGCCCCCTTTAGGTACTGTAAGGTCTCCCTGGAGCCTTCTCTTCTCCAGGCTGAACACCCCCAACCCTCTCAGCCTGTCCTCACAGGGGGGTGCTCCAGCCCCTGATCATCTTCATGGCCTCCTCTGGATTTGTAGAAGAGACAACCAAGAGAAAATGTAGCAACAGCCATCCAAACATGTTAAGTGCTGCGTTAAACAAAGCCCCTGTGTGCGAGGCACCACACTGAGTCATGTGGATGTACTCACTTGGGTTGATACTATATCGGAGGCGTTGTCAGATTTCTCCATTACTGGTGGTGGGCATGGCCAGAGACCCCACACTTCAGATTCTGTCTGTGAGACTGAAATGTCACATGTCATTATCTCGTGTCTTGTGAGGCAGGTTGTAAATTAATATTTCAGTTCTGTTGCTTGGAAAAACATTTGCGCTATTCACAGCGGTGGCAACGTATGTCTACTCTGTAGTCATTTACAGAAATGCTGGGGGTGAAAATAATGGAGAAATCAGTTCAGTTAAAACACAAAGCTGCTCTGAAAATTGACTGTAAAAATAGTATTAAAGATCTCTGTTTATTTCCATCCTGAGGGTTTCTTGTGTCAAATACGCTTGGTTAGCATGCAAGCAGCCTCTCATGTTTTCCTTTACTCAGCTGCCAGTCCTGGAAAATTTAATGTGTACGGGTGAAAGAATTCTGTAGCACATAATGGAGCATTGTGTGATGATCCCTAAACTAGGACAATAAATCCACATCATGCAGTGCCATGTGGACTTGCCACCTTGAGTTCAGTTCTGTATAGCTGCTCACCTTTTGAAGAGCTTCCACACTTACACTGGTTCATGTATAGTCAGGTTGAGTGTGTTCGTTCTCAACCTTCTGTACTTTAGAATTATTGGTTGTGGCCTGCTTAGGTATCTCTAAATTTCATGTAAGTATTTTCTAGGAATCCACTGGATTTTTTCTTTCTCTTGAATTCTCCCTAGTGTGTAAGATTTTGCAGGACCAGTTTTGCTCTTGACGTGTCCTGGGCAATGTCAGTGCTTCTGAAGGATTTAAGCCCATAACCACCACAGTATTTAGCAGTCTAGCTCCTAGTGAGATCAGTTGGAGGTATGTACCAGTTTGTGCATCTATGCCAACTGACCTGGATGCCTTGTCACAGGAAATCAGTGAGTAGTTTTGTTAATGGTGATGGCAAAGAAAAAGAAGAAAGAATATACCTTTATTCTCTTGGACCTGTGATAGGGCTACACACAGTAGAAATGAAAGCTAGTGAAAAGTTTTTTTTCTTTCACTCAAGCCAGGAAATAGAGCTTTGAATGTTGAGGGTATGCCAGTTCATCTGGTGAAGGAGCTGGTGGGGAGCAGAAATAGGATCACTTTAACAAAAAATGCAAAGAGTTCGAATAAATAGGCAACTTTACCTCAAATTCTCTCTCCTTGACCTAGGCTTGGCAGTGTGGAGGTAAAGTAGAAGTTCTGCCCTGTTCAAGAATCGCTCATTTGGAAAGAGCTCACAAGCCTTACTTGCCGGACTTGAGCATTGCAGTGAAACGCAACGCCTTGCGGGTAGCTGAAGTGTGGATGGATGAGTACAAGAACATGGTCTACTTTGCATGGAATCTTCCAATGGAGGTGGGAGTGTTTCTCTGTGTTTCAAATTGGAATCCAAAGTCTAAAAGTGGTCAGATAAGAGTATGTAGTCACACAAAAAGAAGCATAGTGTGGTTATAAGAGTCACTATTAAAAAAAAATTAAAAATTGATTTGTTAATAATTATTGATACAGATATGGACAGATTTATAATTATTTATAAGGTCACAGACATGTTTCTCTTAGACCAAGAGCTGATGCCTAACTTAAAGAATAGAAAATGAAATTGTTTAACATTTATTTTAACTTTTTTAGGGAAAGTAGGGAATGTTTTACCTGGTACAGTCATAATTTTGCGTGAAAAAGAAAGTCTCTAGTGATCTATATGTCCCTGAATATCTTTTAAATAAGCAAAACTGAACTCTAAATAGAGAATTCAATTATTCTTTGTCACATACCAAGTGACTTTTATTAAGTGAGCTCTTCTCTCTGCAGCCCAAATTTCTGCTTTTTATTTTTTTCCTGGAAGAAAAAGGCAAAAGTCTTATAGCGTCCTTGGAAGGTTGAAAAATTGTAATGCCAGGAAATTAAGAACTTTCCTTTAATGATAATTATAATGATCTAAGTCCTTTAAATTGCAGGGTTTTTCTTCTCCTTTTGATTAACTTCAGTACTTCTGAATATGTTTTTAACTTTTTCCCTGCACACTGTTGAAGATACTGAAAGTGTTACGACCAGGTCTTTTGAATATTGGTCATTTCAGTTAATAAAAGAAAACTGTACGATTTTTTTTCCAGACTGCACTTCAGTGGGTTTATGAATATAACAATGAAAGAATAACCTCCTATTTAGGAGGCTTGTGTTTTCTTGAATAGAAATTAAAGAAACAAATTTAAAAATATAGTGATATAGCACAAGTTAATACTTCAGAACAATCCACTTCCCCATTTTACTGTAAATATTTGGAATTTTTCATCTGAAAATGCTAGTCATCAAAAACTGCTTCAAGTCTATTTGAAATTCCTAACCTAACTTATTCAAGCCACAGACTGTGTTTTAGAAAACCCCTTAAAGACAAGCTGTAAGCTCCTGTTGGGCTGGTCTCTACTAAACGTTTCTGCTGGAGCTGTTCCACTTTGCATAAGAAGTTACGTAGTCTTGGAAACAATAGGTTGAATCTTAATTGCTCCCATGAAGTGAGTGTCACAGTCAACAGACTATTGATCAGACTAAGTGCTGTGTTATTTCTCACGTTGAGCTAAATTATTTTTTGTCAGTATGAAAAAAGAAAACTACTTCCTAGCCGTATCTACCTTTCATATTCTTTATATTTATGAAGTCATAACATGTTTGATTATCAGTAATTTATTGGTGTCTCTAGGAAAAACATGTTCTGAAATTCTAAAGTTGAAAAACCATATATTTTAGTTAACTGTTAAATATATTTTTTTATGTTTTATGAATAGACAATATGGAGAAATAAGTCTGTATTTTCCCTAGTGTCTCATGCCACTTTAATGTTCTGAAATTAAATGTGGTGTTCTTGCAGAATCCTGGAATAGACTTTGGTGATATTTCTTCCAGAAAAGAGCTAAGGAAAAAACTAAACTGTAAAGGCTTTGACTGGTACATAAAAAACATTTACCCTAATTTAATACCTCTTCCCAACATTGTTGGCTATGGAACAGTAAGTACTGAGTCTAATTCTTTGAAATATAGAACAACTCATTAGCTCCACCGTTATGAAGAATTGTTGTGAACATTGTTTTGCTGATTATGATGTATTTTCCTAGAAACTTTAAAAAGACTTTTACATGTCTTTCTAGACACTAAAGCTTTTTAAAGTCTTTTTCATACTAATTGTCAGCTTAGACTTTCTAAACTGTGTTTATTGTGTATGTACTGATGCGAGCACAACAGTTTGGGAGAGTGCTTAACATGCTTTTTTAAAATTTTAATTGCATTCAGAATTCACCTATTGACCAACAAGAATGGATTAATACCTTCTTGTAAGGGACTGAATTTTTCAATGGAATAGTGTAGATTTTTTTTTTTTTTCTTCAGAGATTAGCAGGATAATTCGGAAAGCACATAGATGTGAATCAAGATAACATATAGGACATTGGAAGTCAGGCAAAAGAGAGAACTAATCATCCAGGCTGCAGTGGCTTCTTGGTGTAGGGTAGGCATTTGCTGGACCCGAGGTTGCATACCTTGCTGTATCTGGGCAGCGGTACTCACCCGTTCAGAGCTGCCTGGTGACCTGTGCACGTGCTACCTGGCAGGATGTCAATGAGTCTCTGAAGTGCCTTAGATTTACTTCTGATTTTTGCTGTGATGAATCATTTCTACAAAGGAAATCTGAGATTTATTTTCTAAACGCAGATTGTATCTCCCACTTCAGGATTCAATGCAGAGCTCTGAATAAAGTAGCCTTGCTCTCAGGACAGTTTCTAAAATTAGCGGTGAGGAGTTGAAAACGGGATTGTGGTTCCTCACAGTAACTTTCCTATTTTATTCTGCAGATGAAAAACACATTGAAAGAAGACATCTGTATTGATCAAGGGCCTGTCCCTGGAAACACACCGATTATGTATCCCTGTCATGCATATTCACCACAGGTAATGCAAGCAACTGATCAGATCTTCACATGTGAGCTGCTGCTAACTGTTCCTTTCCATCCTCCACAGAGCCATGAAATAGGCACTTCAAACCTATTATCTCTGTGCTATCTGAAGGGGAATATTAACCTTTATTCCATTAAATCCTGCCCCCTAATGCAACTGGCAGCAGAGCAGGTTCCCATGAGGATCTAAGCGCATTAAACTAAGGCTTTTGGTTTAGCCTTGCCAAAAAATTGTGAGGCCTCGTGTTGATACTGGGTTGATCTTGTTGATTAACAGAAGATCAGTGGGATGAATGGGAGAGAGGTGGAGCTCTTCCTCACACCTCATTGCCCATTCTCTCAGTAGAGGGGAACCTAAGGGTTACCATTCAATTGCAAGCGTCTTGCTTTTTTTCATTGGAAAGCAGAAAGATGATGTATAGAGTTGAATTCATCCTGGTTTAATTACTGAGATCAGTGAATGCTGATGCTGTACAGCTGATACCTCTCAATACCAGTTTTGGAACTGTCTGCTATCATCTGCTGATGAGATTTCCCTGGTATCTTAACTCACTGACAGTGGTGTCACCTTCCCTTTCAGCACATCTTTTATCACAGCACTGGAGAAATGTATGTAGGAGGTTTACGTGCTCGACAGAATACAGTTGATAGATGTCTAACAGACCCTGGGAATGGGGATCAGCCACTTTTAGAGCAATGTGACACAGCTGTGAATAAAGGCCTGAACTTGTATTGGGATTTTAAGCAGGTAGGTGGATTTCTATAATCCCACATTTCAATAAGATTTCCCGTTATAACGAATCCTTAGACGCTTTCCTTGCAAAGCAGTTTGCTTCTGAAAAGCGTTGCCTCAATCTCAAGACTTGCAGGTGCACTGCAGGAGCCACGGTGAAGGTGACTGAGTCTTCAGGGATCTGTGATGTTAAAAATGAGGGAATGGTAACACCACTGAAGTTAACCAGTTCTCACTTGTTATCTGAACCATGGCCACTTATTTTTTCAATTGTCTGTCTGAGTGGAATCAGCAGGTTTAAGCCTTTACTTAAAGGTTTAAGTCTTTTGATTTTTAGCTGGCCTGACTACAAACACTTGCTCAGTTACCACATTTCAGCTAATGGGTAGGAAATGTGCAAGCCCAGGTGCCTCTGCTTTTGATGGTGTGATTATAACATTGTGAACTCTCTCCACTGTCTGTCTTTCCAGCCTTTTCATGGGACCTGATGGTCTTAGGGAAAAAGTGGGCTGGTGCCTCATCCTGCTTGTTCTCTGGTACCACCTTCTGTAACGGCATCTGAGCATGGAAATCCTTGTTGGAGATGAGGTTAGGTTCATCCTTTCAGAGCTCAGGTTATAGCTGGTGATTAGAGCATTCACTCCATGTTCACTTGTCTCCATCTGGGCAGGATTTATGCCAGCTGATGCCAACATGCTTAAGATCCCAAGTGATACTTTCAGATTTTGTTTTCAGTGCCTCTGAATACAGAATATGATAATGCTGGCTCAGCTAGTCTAAGACAGATACTGCTGTGCTGCTGGGGCAGGATAAACAGGCAGCAGCAACAATGACGGAGGGAGAGGTGGGAAAGGAAGCCATGCAGCTTCTCCCCTCTCAGGCAATACAAACCTTATTAGCTTTATGTAATTAATAATTAATTCATTTTACATGTAACATATGGGCCTGTTTACTGTATCCCTCCCTCAATGCAAAACTAAGCAGGAGACAAATCTTTGCGAGAGCGTGTTGGAGAACATAGGAGCTGATTTAAAGGTGAAAATTTCAGTGATGTGCACCAAATAATATAGACCCACGTGTGGTCTCCAGAAATTCCACTAACATGGGTTTTCTTTATCTTTAGTCTGCTCTGTAACCACAAAATTTAGCAAAAAGTGCACGTATGTTTCTGGAAGGTTTAGACCCACCTTAAAAGTAAACCTTCAGTTCCTTGTGCGCATCAAGCATTATCATAGTGAAACAACTGGCTGCTTGAAGGAGCCGGGTAGGATCCTGTTTGCTCTGGAGCCCAGCCCCTTAGGAAAATCTTCATTTCCGGCATGATGAGTTGACTTAATCACACCCTACCCCATTCACAACAGTTAGTACTGAAATATTGACTTAGAGATAAGAGATGAATATTCTTACTTGTTATTAGCTCTCTTCTTTCAAAACAGGATACAGTACAGACACAAAACAAACCTCTAAATATGTTTTAATGTGCCTTGGAGAGTTCCATAAGCTGTCACACATCATTAGCCTGAGGAAAATGGAACACTCTTCTTTCAGGTCTGTGACCTCCTAGAGTTTCTCAAACACATTTGTGGAGTCCAAGAGACTTTTTTCCTGACTGAGCACTAAATTTATAAGCCCTCAGTTTCCCTCATACTTCCTTTCCTTTTGTAGGGATCAGCTGTAATCAACAGGAGCACTAAAAGATGCCTCGAAATCACGACAAATGATCGAGCTTCACACAGACTCGTAATGCGGACATGCACAGGACAAAGGTGGAATATCCAACACACAGTTAAGGACTGGGGAAAGAAAAAAGACCAGGAACAAAAAATACAGCAGTCAAAGCATTGACTAAAGGACGTTTTTCCTTGAAAATTGCTACGTTCACAATACAGCACTGAAGGCCATGATTTCAAGAGTTTGTTTACGCAGGATCCTATGATGTAGTAATTGCAAGAGCAACGAGCTACTCATACAAAGGTGCAAGTTCGTCTCCTCATGCTCTTGGGGTATCACCCCCCAGAGTTTCCTCAGTTAGGAGAATGATTGTTTTTGCTCTTTTTTATTATCACCAGAGAAAAGCAGTTACGTCTAAGAGTGTTTCAACTCACCTGAGTTCCTTATGTTGTCCCTTGGAAGTGTCTATCTCTGCTCATTAGTGAAAGACTAGTGTAAGGTCTCTAACTTTGGAACTTTGGCATTTTTAGATGTGAAAATTAAAAAGAAACAAAAGTAGGTCTGACATTCTGTTGTACACAGTTTGTCTCATGCTGAAACGGACCATTTTTCTTGTCTTGTGTTGTATAGATAATGCAAAACTTCTTGTCGACGTGTGTTCATGCAAGTTTGTGAAATGAAATACATCCCTGTTCTTCTGTTCCTGTAATTTGCCTGAGCATGATTCAGTTTCTCAGTAAAATTTATTAGATTCAGCAGTGTGCCACACTAAGGCTGTTTTATGTTTACCTATATGAAGTTTGCTTGTGCTAGCCAGCTCACAGCATGGATAAAATCCAGTCAAGCCCTTGGAAACAAGAGGATTCAACTCAATATTTTCCAAAAACCAATATGAGACCAATGCAGTAGCATATCTCTGTCAAAGAAACTAAATAAAATACAGAATGAGTTGCTAAAGGGACGCAACTTCCAGATAGACACAGTATGAGTTCCTGTAGAAATAGGATTAGGTGGAATTGGCTCTCCTAGTTCTTAGAGTAACCACTCCTAGGACCTGTGCTTATTTGTTAAAAGGAACTCCTGAAAAATAAACATTGAAACATACAGAGTTTCAGCCTGAAGTAATTCTGTTTATCAAAAGGGTGCCAAGCATTTAATTGGAATAGAAAGTATATTCAACATTTGTTTGAAAAGAAGCCAATATAATTTGTTTTTTTCTTTTCTAATTTCTCTGTAAACTTGATGTGAACAATCTGGCCCTGATATTCAGGGCTGGAATTGGACAAGCTCTTCTTAAAGGAGAGTCTTTGATCCTTACGGTCCATATTTTTCTGTTCTGGAAACTGATTCTTGAAAATGCCACATTTTAACCAGATTCAATTTAGATTTCTAAAATCGACTTCTATTCCCATGTCCTGGGTCAAAGCCAACACCACTGAAGAAAGGAGAATATGTGCTCTGGTTGTTTTTTGCATCTTCAACAGCGTGTCTTCCCAAAGCCAAAGGACTAGCATTTGGCAAGCACAATGAAGACAGCTGGAATTTTGCTAGTACAACTGAAATGATAATCTGGCCTACTGGTGATGATGAATAAGAAGTGTTTACATAATCATTGTTCCACTTTAATCTGCCACTTCAATAGAATGTAATAGACATATGAACAATTTTGTTTTGAACTTAAAAGTTTGGAAAACATTAAAATGTCTAGATCCAGAATGTCTAGATTTTCTGGTTCTTAACGTTTGGCCTCTAGTTATACATGGGTGTCAACACTGAAACAAAATGCTTCAAATATTTTGATTTATCTCAAGTGTGAGGTTTTTTTATTTCCTGAAGTCCCTCCATAAATGTGACTTTTTGGCTAGTTTTGTAATGAGGAAAGATAGATAAGAACTCAATTTTAAGACTAGCGTTTCCTGGTGATGCTTGATGAGACATAAATAACAATTCAATATTTTTGGTGCTACAGTAGTAATACATTGCTCTCGCTAGTAATACTTCCAAACTTGGAAATTCACTGCATGCTGAAGCAACTGATGTGTGATTCCTCAGCAAGTCAGCAGTAGAGGTTGGACTCTACTCCCATGGTGTACCACAAGAATGCAGCTATGACTGTGGCACAGCATAGAATGGGATCTCTTCATGACCTGAAAACCAGTCATTAGCTGAACTTTCAGACATGCAGAAAATCACCTGAGGTCCTGCAAAATGACAGAGTACTGCAGTAGCCTATGCTGAAGACAGGTAGTAAATGATAGCATAATAGGCAGGAGGTTTAATGGGTGTGCGGCTGCAAGAGAACAGGGGACAGCTTAATTCGGAGCAAATATAAACAGAAGGACCAGCGTACATACTGCTGGGCAAGTAGACCCGAAGGGCCTCTACACAACAGTAAAGCTTTCCTCCTTGGTTTTGTGCTCAAGCAAGCTTGGCTTTACTGAATGTGCAACCTTGGGAAGAAGGATTAGAAGAGGAAAAAAGGCTTTTTTTATTTAGTGGCTGGTGGAATGAGGACAACAGCCAGGCTGGAGACAGGAAAATTCAAGAGACTATTAATTGTCAATCTCTTTAAGGGGAAACAGTCAGAGAACAGACAGAATCATTTAATCTGTCACCTGGGCATTTGTTTAGTTCTGACCAAACCATGCGTGGTGGAACTGTGATAATCAACAATAAGATAGCTGAAAACCCCACTGCTTTCATCCACAGTTCTTTGCCTGACTTTTCTAAAGTCAGGAGGTAAATTTAGATTTACCTCCTCATTTTCAACCCTCTTTGAAACTAGCCCTTTTGAAGCATAAAGCCTCTGTGTTATCAGTACGGTATAGCACTCTGCTTGCGTTGTGAGTAATCCAGTCAAGATCAGTGGTCAACCTTCGACCACATACATGATTATTTAGATTCTCTATCTTGTGTCAAAAGCAAGAGTAGCTTATTTTGCAATTTTCAGAAAGCTAGGTGGTTTACTACTGGTTTCACCTGTTTGCCGCTCTGCCTGTCCCTGTCGCAGCACAATTTTTCCCTTCTCACAGAAGACATGAGTAGATCACTTTGTTCTCTGGTTTGATTTGGTGTTCCTGGGCTTTATTCACCTGATTTAAGCTGCTATATACCTGTTTCCCTGCACACGTCTTCCAGCACAGTGTATTCTTCTTCTACATCACCTATGAAGACATGATGTTTGAAATCTTCAGCAGACTGGGAGCCTTTTTCCCCTCTGCTGAGAGATCCAGGTGAGGTGAGGACATCTGCCAATTGACAATTAATTGCCAGCACTGAGGGGACTGAAAGGTAGAACTGCTCACAGAAACCCTCAGTAAGCCATGAAAGCCTGAGCACTGCCCATGAGATAGCGGGTCCATCAATCACACAACGTGGGTCAGGGTCGTGTTCTGTCCCTCGTGCCTGCAACGTATGGCGCTGGGGCTTTGCATAGAACTTTATCCTTGAAACTGTGCACTAACAGCAATTCAGTATTGAACTCAGCTCCCTGTAAGCAGGCCCCTCATTCCAAAAAGGCTGTTGAATGATCGAGCGTGGCCAGAGAAGGGCAATGGAGCTGGTGCAGAGTCTGGAGCACGGGTCTGATGGGGAGCGGCTGAGGGAACTGGGGGGGTTCAGTCTGGAGAAGAGGAGGCTGAGGGGAGACCTCATGGCCCTCTGCAACTCCCTGCCAGGAGGGTGCAGAGAGCTGGGGATGAGCTTCTTTAACCAAGTAATAAGCAATAGGACAAAAGTTAATGGCCTCAAGCTGCCCAGGGCAGGGTCAGGCTGGCTCTGAGGAAGGATTTCTGTGCAGAAGGGGCTGTTGGGCGTTGGAATGGGCTGCCCAGGGCAGGGGGGGAGTCCCTGGGATCCCCTGGAGGGGTTGAAGAGTCGGGCTGAGCCAACGCTGAGGGATCTGGTGGAGTTGGGAACGGTCAGTGTGAGGTCAATGTTTGGACTGGAGGAGCTTCAAGGTCTTTTCCAACCTTGATGATTCTGTGATTAAGCAAATGTGGTTTCCGCATTTGTTTTATACTCCCCCAACACTGCTAAATTCTATCCACTCAGATATGGTAGTTAGCAGTCATGTTTGTAATCTCAGATTTCAAGCTTTTTTTTTTCTGTTTTTTGGGAGACTCACTGTTACTTCAGAGTATGTTTTTCCATCTGTTCACCATGAATTTACTTGCAATCCCTAGTCCTCCCAAACTCCCCTCCCAGACAAGGCAAAATGGTACCTTTCAGTGTGTGTGTTTTCCTGCAAAAGTCCCCAGAAATGGGCCATCTGTTGATAAGTGCCCAAAGCAACAATGATAAAGGCGGCAGCTTTGAAGCAAAACCGCACTTGAGCTCTACTGTGGTGAATGCACAGAGCCCTGAATTCAGTCTCATGATAGCTGTTTGCTTTTAATGTCACGTGTATTTTTGTTACAGTGGTTCAGAGGAAATTTGCAAATGTAGGCCAGTTTTGTGTGCATTATTTAAGAGAAAATCTCACTGTAAACATTATTTATGTGTCACTATTCAAATCTAGGAACTGCATGGTGTAATGGCACACATCCTGAAACTGCTACTTTTTTTTTTTTTTAAGGGGTTTGATAAAGGGGAAATATTTGTGTTACACAGACAACTTTGAAAGGTATTGTCAGTTCACCATATTTTAAAGAAAACAGATGCAGTATTAGAGCTCTACATTAGCCACATCCAGAAAAGACTGAGACAAATATGTACAAGCCTATGATGCACAGACAGTCTGTGTGGTGTCTGCCACTGCACAGGATTGCCCAAGTTTGCTTCTGCATCTCTGTTAGACTTTGAATTTCCGTGTGTCTGACGTCTTTTTTTGTTGGATGTGTGCAGGTGTCATTAGCCTGGATGAACTAAGCCTGGATCATTCTTCACCTCTGCTGGAAATGGTCCCTGATGTGTTCAGGTCAGTCTGCATCGCGTGCCATGTTTCTGGGACTGCCATGCTTCTGGTATGCAAGCCAGTGGATTTAAGTAATAGCATACTGTGCTGCAGTCTGCTGTATAATTACACACTGAATTAGATTCACAGTTTGTTACCTATGTCACACTGTGACAGGGCTTGTTGCTCTTTAGGAGGGGAAAAAAATTCTCCTGGCTATAACTTAGAAAAGCACCACGAGGGTTGATTTTCTCCCTGAAAGTGTGAATTCCTTTTAGAAGAACCTGCAAAACAGATTAAAGCTCAAGTAATCACCCTTTATTAAATGTTTCTGGTTAACACCCCCCAATTAAAGGTATGCCTTTGGACTTGCAGAGATAAAGCCCAGAGAACAAAATGATGATGGCACACACGCTTAGTGCTGTGGGATAAGCAAAGAGGAAATATTAGTGTGTGAATTTTAGGGTAGCTGACTGGTGGTGAGGTCTTGCATTACACTGTGAGATGGTTTATCATCTTGAGGGATGAACTGTCTGCTACTACACAGGGGACAAATACGCTATTACCTGCTATTCTACAGTATACCTCACTTCAAACTATCTTCCTCATGTACCTTAAATCTGTGTTAAAACTGTATGTGATGGGTGCTGCTTGTGTGTGTAAGTGAACATGTAACAACATGTTTAACATTGTTCTTCTAAAACAACAATGTGTTTTGGAATGGACGTATTGATTCCGGAAACCTTTTCACTGGTGCTTGTGGGATGGTCTTTAAAGCCTATGAAAGGAGTGCAGGGCTTTTTAGAACAAGGAAATAAGATTTCATAGAATCATAGAAGGGTTTGGGTTGGAAGGGACCTTAAAGATCATCTAGTCCCACCCCCCTGCCATGGGCAGGGACACCTTCGACTAGCCCAGGTTGCCCAAAGCCCCGTCCAACCTGGCCTTGACCACTGCCAGGGAGGGGGCAGCCACAGCTGCTCTGGGCAACCTGGGCCAAGCGCCTCACCACCCTCATAGGGAAGAATTTCTTCTTTATATTTCATCTAAATCTCCCCTTTTTCAGTTTAAAACCATTACCCTTTGTCCTATCCCTACACCCCCTGATAAAGAGTCCCTCCCCATCTTTCCTGTAGCCCTCTTTAAATACTGGAAGGCTGCTATAATGTCTCTCTGGAAGTTTCTCTAGGCTGAGCAACGCCTACTCTCAGCTTGTCCTCACAGGGGAGGTGCTTCAGC